CCTGCAAACACAAATCACGTCTGGACAGTTAAAACGACAAATCAGTAGGAGAAACCACGCTACATCATCTTAGCCTTCCAAACCAAACGTAAAAATGAACCAAACTCTAACGCTAGAATATTTGATCATTGTAACATCAGAAATGTAAAACTGTACCTCAACTCTCACTGCTATCCATACGGGAATTTCAACATTGATTTAAGGAAAAACCAGTACGCAATTTTGTACGATATGTATGCCAATTTTCGAAACGTATACTACGGTAAGGATGCCGAACCGATGCTCAAAAAACTCGAATATAAAAATTACATGCCACTTGTAGTGATTGACTGTTCAAAACAAACCGAATCATTAAAGACTGCTCCAGTAGATGTGTGCTTGGAGTTCGAAACCAGAGATATTATTAAATATTCCCGAAGGAACTACAGCGTATTGTCTTATTCCATACGATCGTATCGTTCAGTATAATCTGATAAATGGAGATGTGAAGAAACTTATTTAGGAGAGGGGGAAGAGTATTAAAGAATTGACTCTTTCCTTAAGCAGCTCAGTAGTAGCTTTCTATCGCAATGGAGTACGTAGTGGATATACAAGACTTCGTGATGTCTGACAAAACTTATGCTGTGAAAGAGTTAACGATACTTCCACTTAACTACATCGAAGAACCACTTGTATGCTTGTTCAAACCTCCCTTTCCATGGCGAAGACTAATGGAGAAATATAAGCGAGAAAATCTCTGGTTAGAACTCTAATATTATGAATTAACATGTAACTCTGACGGTTTTAAATACGAAGAGTATAAATTCATCATCAAAGATACACTCAAAGATGCGACGAAAATATTCGTTTCCGGAGATCTGAAAAAAGAGTGGTTAGAACGACATGGCCTCAAAGTTTTCGATTTGAATGATTGGGGCTATTCACCTTTCGAAAGATTAAAATCAGTTACCGCGTGCCCTAATCATAATGGCAAATTTTTTTTATGTCTTTTTCTAGCAGAGATACCGTCCATTGAAATGTGCCATTCATCAATTGATTTATACTGGAGTATAAAAAATCTTGATTTTTTTTGCAATCTTCAGTAGTAGGAAAAACTTACACTGGCATATAAAGGTCTACCATTGTACTAATTTACGGTGAATCTAGCTGAATTTATTAGATGCACTCTAAACTGGCAGCTATAAATTTAGGGCGGGCTAAGGCAGATGGTTATGACCTAAATTCTCTGAAAATCCTATAACTCTAGAACCAGCGACAGATTAACTTAAGTGCACTATAACCTGCAAGCTCAAAACCATGACAGGATTGCCTGAGTGCGCTATAACCTACACTCAGCTTAAAACCACGACAAGTTAACCTAAGCGCTCTATGACCCGCGAGAGGTTAATTTAAGCGCGCTATAATCCGCAACAGGTATATTGAGTACGATATATATAACTTGACAACTAGAATCCATGACAGTATAACCTATATGCGCAGTAACCTTTGAACTCTAGACCACTACATAGTGAACTTATGTTCACTATGATCTGCGAGTGCTAAACTCACAACAGGTTAAACTAAATGCAGTGAACAGTGTGGGTCAAGCACAGGACAAATTAATTTAAGTGGACTGTAATCCATAGCATTTCAACCGAAGCTCCAATGTAGTTAGAGAGGTTACACTAAGAAGCTGACAATCTTTAGAATGTATATTCTTAAACCTATAACCGCCAATTCTGTGATGTTATGCTTTCTTTTTGTGAAAACGTTGGCGCTTCATTTCAAACGATCGTTGAAGAGATTTACGTTTGTGACTAGTAGGGTTATTATCATCCCTTTTCAATGACCAGCAGTAGTCGGCCATCATTTTTTCGTCCCACCTTCCTTGGTAGTGTTGTTCCTTTTGTTTTAAGTCTTGGTGAAAACGTTCACCCATCTCCTCACTATATGCTCCAAGATTTTCTGGAAAATGGTTTAAATAAGAATGAAGGAAGTGTATTTTGAGGCTCATTAGACAACCCATTTTTCGGAAATTCTGTAATATGTTGGACACAACAGTTTCAAACTGCGGGTCTCAATTATTGCCTAAAAATTTTTCTGTAACATCTTTCAAGCTCAACCAAGCATTTTTTTTCAACGAGAGTCATGGTTTCGATAAATGTATCATCTTTCATGAGTTTTCGTATATCAGGCCCAACGAAAATGCCTTCCTTAATTTTTGCATCACTCAATTTCGGAAATGTGGCTTTCAAATGATTGAAACATTTACCTTCTTTATTCAAGGCTTTCATAAACTGTTTCATTAAACCTAATTTGATGTGAAGTGTTGGCAGTAATACTCTCTCTCTATCAATAAGACCTACGTAGGCGACATTATGAGAACCTATTTTCCATTCTGATCTTGTGGGCCATTTTTTTGTTACCCAATGCTTATCTCTTGCACGGCTGTCCTAAAGGCAGAGGAAACACGGAAATTTGGTATTTCCCGACTGCAAGCCAACTATAAGATTTATCATCTTAAAGTCACCACAAACAAGCCAATTGTGAGTCTTGTAATTTATTTTTTCCAGTAGAAATTGAAAACTATTGTATGATTCTTTTAGTGCAGTTGAGTGACCTACAGGAAGTGCCGCATACTCATTTCCTTTATGTAGTAACACAGCTTTGAGACTTTGTGTGGAAGAATCAATGAAGAGACGCCAGTTTTCTGGCTTGTACAAATCTTGGATATACAAGTTAACCAATTATTCGATGTTATTACAGTATACCATCACATCCTCCATTGTAAAGTACTTTATGAACGCCTCTTCTCGGTTTTTGTAAATTGACACTTTTGTTCCAGGTAATAATAGCTTCCTTTCTTGGAGTCTTGAAGCACAGAGTTCAGCTTTATCCTTTAGAAGATTGAGGTCTCGAATAAAATCATCTAACGAACTTTGGTCAAAAAACTTAGAACTCTCGTCATCAGAACTATCTTCAAAAGAGACATCTTTAGTTGTATCAATATCCATCGGTTCAACTTTTGCCGAACCAACTTCTTTTCCGGGTTTACTTACTTTTCCTACTTTGGCTGGTGTTACACTCGCTACCGCAGAGTAGATGATTTTATTTGAATTTTGTTTATTGAAATCCGTTGTATTACATAAGCAGAAGTAGCAATCAGTTTCATGGTCCTTGGGCTCACGCCAGATGGTCGGTTCAATAACAGTCATATTGCTGCTATTATCATCCCACTTCAACATAGCAAGTCTACAAGAATTACAAATTGAAGATGGTACCCATTTCTTATCTAAATTGTCGATCGGAACCTTATAACATTTCATATATAGAGTTTTGATTGAAACATGAATCGATCGTCGATAAGAAGTTGTTTCAAACTTCCCACAAACATAACAAAATGTATCAATACAATCATACATTTCAAGTTACGTAATATTCTACATCATCTATCTACAGAATTTCAAAAACGAATGAAAGATTTCACGGTTTTTGATTCCGCTGATCGTATCGGATATCAGATTTTCAAAACTTATTTTATTCAAGCAATTTGTTTAAACAAATTTTTGCACAATTGAATATTTTTGTAAGTTGCACCTCATTTCCATGGTTTTAGGGGTCACTGATTACGAGTTTGATGTTAGATTTGTGAATTTAGATTTATTTAAACAAATTATTTAAATTTTCAATTCTAATATTTGTCTGTCTGTCAGAGGCCGACAAACTTCAGAACCAAAAACTATACATAACACACCCGAAGAATTTCGATGCGCTAAATCCAAATCTCAGCTTAGAATTGCGCCAGCACGTCAGTATTCCGAGATATTCTAGAAGGCTCTAATCTGCGTGGCCATAATCCTAAATCCGTTAACCCAAAAACCCCCGACCTCTTAACCTTTAACTGCCCCCTCAACCTTAAATCCGTTAACCCTGTAGCCCTGAAACCTGTGATGTTATAACCCTCGATGCCGTTACACAAATCCCATAATGCCTGAGCCCAGTAATTTGCGCCACAAGGAATCTAGGGCTATTGTATCGCAGGTTACAGGATTCCGAGGTGAAGAAATTCGGGGTTAAGTTGGCAGGTTTTATTGCCGCGCTTGTTATAACGTTCTTGGGTTAAAATATTTGGGGTTAAGGGGACGGGGATTATTGCATCGAAGGTCACAGGGCTCGGGGGTTAAGGGATTTAGGGTTAAGTGGGCAAGGTTTATTGCCCCGCATGTTACAATGCTCCAAGATCAGGGATTTGAGTTATAATAGTCGAAATTCATTGCGTTGCTGTATAAACCAATTGATAAGTAGTACATTTCAATTGATGATAAAAGAAGACATAAACTATAGACTATTAGTGCTTTTGTACGATAAGAATTGCTTTTTAGATGCCGTTGTCAGTTTTGGAGGAAAAAATTTATTCGCAATGTTATAAAGTACCGAATATAGCCAAAATACGTGATTTTCGCACTTTTAGGTTAGGATATCTCAAAATCCTGACGTGCTGGCGAAATTCTGAGCTCGGATTTGGATTCAGCGCATCAAAATCCTTCGAATATATTATGTCTGGTCTCTGGTTCTGAACCTTTGTCAAATTTTGTTGGCCTGTGTAATTATGTAATAATTGTGAATTTTTTATTTTCTATGAATAATATCATCCTAAAGGTTCATAATAAGTAGAATTTTACAAGTATTTTATAATTTTTTCATTATTCTTCAAATTATAATATTTTGGTGGTATCTAATAATGATTTACGTATAAAAAATTTACTTTTTATTACCTGATGTATCATACAATCAATTTAGTAGAAAACGGTAGGGTAACAATGAATTCTTCATTAAAAATGTTATACATATCTATCATATACTAGTATCTATCATATATAGTAGTTGATATATCAATGAACATTTTAACATATAAGTTGCTCTATAATCGGTCATATAATAATTAGTAAATTCTCAAACTTTCAGTGCCCGCGTACTAATAATAGATATTTTCGTAATGAATAACGGTATTTTCATTTCAGAATTCAAATACATCTTTGTATCAGCGTTTATTTAATAATATGGTCGATGCAAAACCGACAGTTTTTACAAGGGATAACGATGAAGGTGTTGAACGAGTGATCAAAGGAAAACGAAAATATGCATTTTTCATGGAATCAACTACTATAGAATATCAAGTAGAACGACGTTGCGAGTTACAGATGGTGGGTACATTACTTGATAACAAAGGATATGGAATCGCCATGCCACATAGTAAGTTATCTTTATATTATCACTTAATATAAATATATAAATATGTTTATATTATATATATATGTATATATTATAAACATGCATTCCTTATTATAAACATATTTTTTATACATATGCATCTAATTGAGCATTTATGGGAACCACACTACCTGTTACGAAAGAAATTTGGAGTAAATTTCTCATATTCTAGAAACCATTTCATAGTAAGTAGACTAATTAATTTGACTTATTATATGACATATTTCTTCCGTCTTCTATATATATGAACGCTTTCGTTTCAATAGCAGTGTTACAACTGTTCGCGCCATGTGCGTTTCTTGTATTGAGAACGTGCATCATTTTTTCTTTTCGTCTTTGGAAAGAGACTGTTCGATCGCTTTAGTTCAAGATATACTTAGCGCTTGTATAAAACGATAGAAAAAGGAGAGTTGTTGACCAGAAACTTATCGTCAATCGAACACCATACAGAAAAGACTAGCAATAAATCACTTCAATTTCGCTTTTAGGTACGAAGGGTACGCTAACTCTATCTATGTTACATCTTAATATATAAAGTATTCATCGAGGACATCAGCAGTCGACCGAAATTACATTAATAGAAGTTAGGTTTCGCGCTGAATGTTACACTTGTGGAATGTGAAATTCTCAAGTCGATAAAAAACGATCAAATTGAATAAAAATTAAGTAGGCCGAAATACGAGGTCTATCCGGAAAGTATCGGGCCTACGTTTATATCTTCGCACCATAGTATTCGAGCGACCTCTACCGGACAGAAACGTCAACAGTAAAGCCTCACGAATCTATTGGTTACTTACTGATACCTGCCGGACCTATAGTTCATGCGGAGCGTGTCTTTGTGTACAGTGCCTTTTTCGCGTTCGTCGTATTTTGATATTGTCAAAAATGACTGAAAAACAAGATCAACGAATTTGCATCAAATTTTGCTTTCAACTGGGAAAAACGAGTTCGGAAACTATTAAAATGATGCAAAAGGCCTTCGAGAGGGAGTGTATGAGCAAAACACGAATAGAAGAGTGGTATAAACGGTTCAAGAATGGTCGCACTTCTGTCGATAGTGATTCTCGTTCCGGCCGACCTTCGACGACAAAAACCATAGATAATATTGAGCGGGTGCGACTTGCAATCGAATAAGATCATCGTATGACTGTGCAAGAACTAGAAGAAGACTTTGGGATACCAAAAACTATCATTTCAGAAATTTTAAACGAAAATTTAGGAATGAAACGCATGTGTGCGAAATTCATCCCAAAATTGCTCACAGCAGAGCAGAAGAACATTCGCTTAGAAATCGCTCTGGACAATCTGGAAATGGTCAATAATGATGATAATGTGCTTAGAAAAGTTATTACAGGTGATGAATCATGGGTTTATGGTTATGATACTGAAATAAAACAACAATCTTCACAGTGGAAATATTCTGAATCGCCAAGACCAAAAAAAGCACGTCAAAGTCGGAGCAATGTTAAGTCAATGTTGATTGTTTTTTTCGATTGTGAAGGTGTTGTACATCATGAATATGCATTAACAGGTCAGAGAATCAACAAAGAATACTACGTTCAAATTATAAAACGTTTGCGTGATGCAGTAAGAAGAAAACGGCCGCACTTTTGGGAAAGTGATGACTGGCTTCTCAATCATGATAACAACGCCACCGCATTCATCCAATCTTGTGCAGTAGTTTTTGAGCAAACACAATATCGCATTGCTTCGACAACCTCCATACAGTCCCGACATAGCCCCTTGTGACTTTTGGCTGTTTCCAAAACTGAAAAAACCCCTCAAGGGACACCGATTCGACGAAAAAACAACGGTTGAAAACAATGCGACGAGTGTACTTAAGGTTATCACTAAAAGTGAGTTCCAGGACTGTTTTGAAAAGTGGAAACATCGATGAAACCGTGTTATTCAATCAAGTGGGGATTACTTTGAAGGATGCCATCCACCAGATGATAAAGAATAACGCTAGCACAAAAATATAAAGGTAGGCCCGATACTTTCCGGACAGACCTCATATCCTGGAGCATATTTATTGACAGTTCGAGTACTCGGCATTTGATTTACGAAGAGCGACACTTAAACCAGCGTTTTTTATATCAAGTTTATATACGTTTTTGCACTTTTTTTATTCTTTAATTTTGAATTATATTGTTTACTTGAATGTAAGTCACTTTGAAGCTTTACTACTTGAACTTTACAATGGAGAGTCGCGGTTTTCCGATTGGTCTGTTGATTCTCATCGTCATTCACTCGCCACATCAGGCTGAGACACTGCTCTCATAACCTGTTTTCTCTATCTGAAGTACGGCGAACGATGTGATTTGAGTAGACAGAAATGGTAGACAACTGGTGAGTATGAAGAGTAACGTCGCACGGGAATGAGAGGGCCTCGCTAGCTGAGTTTTTCGTTGTTAAGGAAACACGCCTGGTCCGTGAGTGCCGGCGAGGATTTTTGATGAAAAAAGCTATATCTTTGTATAAAAAAATCAGAAATTAGTTTTGTCGATCTCGTTTTAAAGAGGAAGAAATCTCATTTTGATTTTTCTTAGATTTTAAATGATCCGCATGATTTGCGTAGCAAATAAATAAATTTGTATATGGACAAAAGAAAAGAAATTTTTTATGTTCATTTGTTTTTTAATCATTGCAATTTAATTTTTTAAGCATTGCAACGGTAGTCGATTCGATTAATCGATGTGTTCGCGATCCGGTAGAACTGGCGATGCTAGAGCGAACGATTAAAAGAGAAGGGGCGCGCAAGAATTCAAAGTTTCAGTTAAGCCTCAGGTGTTACTTGAAAGAGTACCGCCAAATTAGTTTCACTTTGTTTTGCCGTTTTGCCAAAAAAAAAGTGATTTTCTGGGATATTCGAAACGTGCGTGAGTGACAGCGAGTAAGCTGAATCACAGCAGCAGCAACTAAAACAGCAGCAAATCAACAGCAGATTGATAGTGAGGTGAATCAGCGCAGCCTTACTAAGGAGGAAACCGTTGGCAGAAAAGAATTTCTTCAACAATTTGATCACCGTAATTACATCGCAGGTTAGGTGCACCTTCCTTTTTATACGTGACAAAATATTTACGGTAATATTTTTTCTATCGCGACTACTTTTGTATTAGAGCGTTAGATTTTGCGGCAAAGTTTTGAATTCTCTCTCTTTCTCTCCCCGTATTATTGTTAATCATTGTAAATCATATTTTCGTGCATTCATCTTTCGGCCTATCAAAGACTGTAGTTCATTAGAACTAAACATTATTAATTTTATTTGCCGCATTACGTTATTTCGTTTCCTATTAGTTTGATGGATCTATTACTGATTAAATTTTAAACTGATTTCATCTAGGGGATTAGTTGGAATAAGCATTAGGTCACTCACACCTAAGATAGATCGAGCGTCAGGTGACTTAAGGTGAGTTCAACTCTATTGGAAAGAAGACACTGAAACGAAAGTATCAAACGTAAAGGCGAATACACGTATACTTATAACGTAACTCATACTCTTAACGGAGAGGCGGTTAGCTCTGCATCGTGGAAGTGTGTTCTTTAATAAATTCCTATTGTACCTTCTAATTCACCCTCTTACAGCATTAAAAATTTAATTCTAGTACAAACAATATTATTAAACAATGTTACTTAAAGTATACTATTATCTTTAAAATGGCTTGAAGTTTTTTATTCTACGACTCTTTTTCGCTGAGATATAAAACTTTAAAGTTTGGCAAATTTCATCTCAAGGTGCGCAAAAGTACGTGCCGGGCACTGTACTTCGTTTTTTTGTAATTAAAATGAAGTGTCATTAAATTGAGTATCATCGTATTTCATCTGTGGCCAATTTTCATCCCAACGTTAATTTCATGTATGATTAATGTTCACACTCGATATATTATTCAGCCGTTGGAGTGTTTGCGCCCTCCGATCCATATCTCATACTTTTGAAATATGTACTTTGTGTTGTATTATAGTTATAACTAAGTATTTATAGCTAAACTTTAGTACGATATATTACCCCTTGTTACATGATGCTCAACCAGTATAAAGATCCATAATACGAGTAGATGTATAGGTTTGTGCATTGAAGATAATCGATTCATGGGAGAGAGAGACGATTGCGCGAGCGCTTAAGAAAATTTGAGCGGGTGATAGCGCCAGGTTTAGGCGATGGGCACTCTGGAAGAGGAAAAGGAGAGTGGCTCCAACCTTCTCTTTATTGTAAGAATTTTTGTACGTTAGGGCCGAAAGCGTGACTAACCTGAAGGTCGAAGCGATCCCAAATCGTTGATGATTGGCAGTTGCTAACTCAACCCAACCCGTTTTAAGTCACATTAGAGTGGGTAAAGGGGAGACGGAAGTACCTGAGAGACGGTAAAGGCAGAAAGCGAGAACTAAGCGTGCAGTCCAAGAAATACTATTCCGGCGGAGTAAGCAAACAGCGGGCTCCGATCTATTGGTAGGATTTTTTAAAAATTATTTTTGTGATTTGATAATTTGCGGAGACTGTACGCGCTTACAAACCTCGCGAGTCTATGCTTTGAAAAAAGGCAACAAAGAGAGTGACACTAATTAATGTAGCACTCTACTCATTCCTTGGGTGACAGGAGGCGGTACAGATCGATTAAGCCGAAATGTTAAACCTTGACCACAACCTACACCCGTGCGGAGGCAGAATGGCTCTGCTGTCAGCCCAGGTGGACACGTGGGCATTAGCTGACCTCCGCAAAATGCGAGCGTTACCTGGCGGATTTCGAGCTGCGTAAGGACGGCAGTGTAATCCAGTAGGAGGCTTGGCTAGGAAGATGGTTGATAGGGAAATACAGCGCCGCTGACTTTGAAAAGACCACGCTGAGTAAGCGAGTGGCAGAACGCAGGAGGCGCACCTGCCAGGCATGGCTTAAGACAATGCGGCGAGCTGGAGAATACCAGCGAAGAGGACACAGTGGTCATCCCTTAAGACTCATTAATAATGACAAGTTCACCTCGGCAAA